AGCTTCCTGGGAATGTATGTTTCTGTAAAGGTGTTTTCTGTGTCTAATACCATGTAAAACCAATGTAAACCAAACAAAACAGTCTTAATAATATCGATGCTACTTTACATTATACAAAAAAAATGTAATCTTACTAGTATACAATGTATAAACAAACAACTCAATATAACCTTAACTGTTTCGATGTATCTAATAACAAAACTAAAAATTTAGCATGTAACTCATAGTCTAAAAATATAAACTAGCCAATGTTTATTTTAACAGAACTATAACATCTAAATAACTCTTAGCACTTAATAAAACGATAAAAATATAGTGTGAATGTACTTTAAAGCTAAACGAAAATATAACTCAAAAAGTGTCACTCATAACCAAACAAAATATAACTATTGCAGAGTCAATAAAACAAAAATATGATGTTGGCAGTGTCGAGATAACTCAATAACTCTCATCAAAACAAAAATAAAACCACGATGTTATATTTAGCCAAACAAAATAACTTTTCAGTGATAATGTTACTCATAAAAAAAGAGGAAAAAATACTTTCCAGATTCAAAGTTTCTTATACCGGGACAAGAAATACAACCTTCACAGTGTCAATGTCACTCATAACCCAACAAAAATAACATTGATTTTGTCAATGTTGATCATGACCAAAGACAAATATAACCTTGACAATACCAAAGTTGTTCATAACCAAAGACAAATATAACCTTGACATAATCAATGTAGCTCATAACCACAGGCAAATATAGCCTTTACAATGCATGTGTAGCTCATAACCAAACACAAATACAACCGTTACAGTGTATATGTAATTGATAACCCAACAAAAATATAACATTAACAGTGCCAATGTCACTCATAACCTAACCAAAAAAAAAACTAACCAGAACATTGTCAATAACTCATTACCAAAAACAAATATAACATTGACAGTGTATATATATCACATAACCAAAGACAAACATATCCATGTCGATATAATTTAAATACACCATAAATATATACATTGTGCCCACAAGTGTCATAATGAATCCAAACCAAACAGACATTTAACTTCAATATTGTATCTACCATTTCACGATTTCAAGCATACCATTATACAAAACAGTGTTAAACACATGACAATATTGTCCATGTGGCAAATGCAACTTAAATACACTTAAACAGTGATTTCATTTAAATACAACACAAAATAAAACAGTGTCTTTGTTAATCAAAATTAAACAATAAATCAATATAATATGTACTGTCTCGATGGAACTGAAAATCCAGCATTAATGAAATAAACAAACATTTTAACGCTGTCGTTGTGTTGTAAACTGCCACTTATAACCAATCATAAATAAAGCTTTAACTATCACTGGGTAAATGTTCCTCAAAACTAATGCTTCTGCTTTCAACTTTACGGGTGACTTTACAGTGTCGATTAAACTCATTACAATAACCGGTCTAATTTGTACTTTTTCGATAACACTTAAGAAGTCACTCGAATCAATGTAACTTAGAATTCTCAAATAAAATATAAATCAAAACCTAAACAGTGCCAAAGTTACTTAAATCAAAACAAAAATGTTACTTAAGTGCAGATATTACTTAAAAACAAAACACATGTGTATTTGTAAATAACAGTTTAGATTTAATTTAAACTTAAAAAAATATAATCAACAGTGCAGTGTTACTTAAAATCTAACACGAATTACAGTTTAGATATAAAATAAAACCAAACAAAATTATAACGTACTCAAAACAAAAAACAAGTATATTAATTACAGTTTATAAGTTATATCAAACTAAACGGAAACTTATAATAATTAGCTTAAAACCAGTCATAAGTATTTCTATTTACAGTCTAGATATTACTTAATACGTAGAACTATAAGGAACATAAGGTATTACTTAAAACAAGGAAACTAACATAAAACATATTTAAAACCAAACCTAATTACAGTCCAAATTCAACACAGATGTAAGCTTAACCATGTCAAAAACACTTGAAACAAAGTTATATATGATATCAAACAAACTTATGATCAAATAATGTAATTCCAAACATATTTAGATATGACTTTAATTCAGTGAGTGTAGATTAAAACTAAACAAATTCATAAAAGTAAATTTGAAAGAAAACATTTTCATTCTAGCGGTGCCTTAGGAATAATTTAATTTTGTACATTTTATTTTGATTTTTCGTTTTGTAATAGAAATTTTTGCCATGCATATTAATTGCAAATTATTTACTATTCTAATACTGAAATCATTGAATTGAGTAAAACCTAAAATTTATAAAATAAATAATTCCAAAATATAAGAAAACGGTTGTTCATAAGGTATGTGGCGCTAGGAATGTTTCATTCAACACATGGCTGAGTATATGATTACATCACTATTTTGTCTTCAAAGTTGCATTGTACTTATTGATTTGATATGAATTTTTTGTGAATTAGGACATGAAGGACATCTTAACCATTAGCCTTCTGACAACACCAGATTCTGCCCATGCACCTAGGGCTGAACAAGGTCAAATGGCAAGTCCATTTAGTCTGATCATGGTATGCCTTTAGCGTTATTCAGTAAGTATGAATTTTGAAATTTTCTATAAAATGATGAATGGATTTTTGCCCATTTTGAAAGACTGTCAAACCCATTATTTTAGATATTCAGCATAGCAAGAAATATACTAATATAGATATAAGAATGAATCTGCACTGCGCTTTTTAAAAACATATGCTCTATTGAGTAATTTTCAAATTCACACATCTAAGCCAAATAATAAGATCTACTGTAGATATACATAAGTATGTATACATATGTTATAAATTCATTGACATGTTTTATAGATCAATTCAAGTAATGCACTTTAACATATCATTTTGCCAACATTTAACATTCTAAATCATTGCATAAACGGTTCAAGCATCTTCTAAACAGTCAACTGGCATGGCGTGATATGTACCCCAATTGGTATGAGGCAAAATGTAAAAAAAAATATCTCCATAAAACTAGCTTTATACTACAACGTATAATCATCACAATATTCGAACAAATTTCTCTATTTAAATACATATATAGCCTTATTCTAGCACCTTTCTATTTTCAAATAAACATATCGCATTTTTCGAACACCTTTTATTTATTAAAAAAACATAGCATATTGCACCTTTCTCTTTTAAAAAACATAAAGCATTATTCGAACACCTTGTTAGAAAAAATATAATAGCATTATCCGAACACCTTTCATTTACAAAGAAAACATTAAGCATTAATCAAACACCTTTTCTTTTTTCAAAAACGTATATGATTATTCGAATACCTTTCTATTTTCACAAAAACGTATATGATTATTCGAATACCTTTCTATTTTTAGGCCCCTGGAGCGGGGCCAGTTTTAACCCCAGGGCTTTTATTTGAACAAAGTTGGTTGTATATGTTTGCATGTATATATATATATATATATATATATATATATATATATATATATATATATATATATATATATATATATTTATATATATATATAAATATATATATATATATATAAACATATAATATATACATATATATATATATATATATATATACATACATAATATGTATATATATATATGTATATATATATATCTATATATATATACATTTATATATATATATATATATATATATATATATATATATATATATATATATATATATATATATATATATTTATATATAAATATTAAATATATATGTGTATATATATAATATGTATATATCTAAAAAAAAAAAGTCAAGCTAATGAATGACCCCCCGGGGCGGGGCCAATTTTGACCCCAAGGCTTTTATTTGAACAAACTTGGTAGACACCCATGAGAACATGTTTCATGCTAAATATCTTAGCTCTAGCTCTTTGAGTTCTTTAAAAGAAGATTTTTTAAGTTTTTACTATATGCACATAAGGAAAATCAATGACCCCCGGGGGCGGGGCCAATTTTGACCCTAGGGCTTTTATTTGAACAAACTTTGTAGACACTCATTAGAAGATGTTTCATGCTAAATATCTTAGCTCTAGCTCTTTGGGTTCTTTAGAAGAAGATTTTTTAAATTTTAACTATATGCATATAGGGAAAATCAAAGACACCCTGGGGCGGGGCCAATTTTGACCCTAGGGCTTTTATTTGAACAAACTTGGTAGACACTCACTAGAAGATGTTTCATGCTTTATATCTAAACACTAGCTATCTGGGTTTTTTCAAAGAAGATTTTTAAGTTTTTGCTATACACAGTCATATAAGGAAAATCAATGACCCCCCGGGGCGGGGCCAATTTTGACCCCAGGGCTTTGATTTGAACAAACTTTGTAGACACTCACTAGAAGATGTTTCATGCTTAATAGCTAAACTCCAGCTATTTGGGTTTTTTTAAAGAAGATTTTTTTAAGTTTTTGCTATACACATATAAGGAAAATCAATGACCCCCGGGGTGGAGCCAATTTTGACCCCAGGGCTTTTATTTGAACAAACTTGGTAGACACCCATTAGAACATGTTTCATGCTAAATATCTTAGCTCTAGCTCTTTGAGTTCTTTAAAAGAAGATTTTTTTAAGTTTTTACCATATGCATATAGGGAAAATCAATGACCCCCTGGGGCGGGGCCAATTTTGACCCTAGGGCTTTGATTTGAACAAACTTGGTAGGCACTCATTAGAAGATGTTTCATGCCAAATATCTAAGCTCTAGCTCTTACGGTTTTTTAGAAGAAGATTTTTTAAGTTTTTCTTATTGGTTGCCATGGCAACCAGAGTTTTTAATGGAATTTAAATTTTTGAACAACTTTGAAAGGGGTCCACCTAAGGATCATTTCTGTAAAGTTTGGTTGCAATTGGCCATGTAGTTTAGGAGGAGATGTTGTTTGAAAAGTTTGACGCCATTTTTTGAAGGACGCACGACGCACGACGGACGCAGAGTGATGACAAAAGCTCACCTTTGAGCACTTCGTGCTCAGGTGAGCTAAAAACGTATATGATTATTCGAATACCTTTCTATTTTCAAAGAAAACATTTAGCATCATTAGAACACCTTTCTATTTACAAATAATATATGGCAACACATAGCATATAACAGATACAAAATATACTTCACACCGTTAAGTCATTTCATGACATTATTCATTTTTAAAAAGCAAAGAACACACATTCAAAAGTCTGGCCCAGTTATTTTATTTCATCTCATATTCATCTTATAAAAATATATACATGTACAGATCATAATCTGATCTTTCTCCCCTATTCTTCATTTCAGTATATCATTCCTTTCTTACTTAATGATACAAATTTTAAAATGTGGTCTTGTTATTTCATTTAACAATAATAACAATTATTTTAACCCAAATGATCAACACGTTCATAATACATGGTCCAGTTATTTTACTTAATCATACGAACAATGTTTACTTACAGATATACACAATAATTGTAATATTGTCATTCATTATACACATATAAAATAAACACTATATATAATAGTTATTTCCTGAAAGGGACTCCACTGAGGGTGTTTCTTTACATGACTGGACTGGACTTTTTTTTTCGAGATTAATGTTCCATTTGATGTAGGTCTAGATCAATAACTTGTGTGCAAAATTTCAAATCATTTCTTCACTCCGTTTTTCCAGAATACAAAAGATAATTAATCTAATTGTGTGAAAAATGACACAAATTGAAAAGCGTTGCAAATTAAGCTAAGAATAGCCCAATAATACGATTTTTTTTCAATAAGACTTTGAACATCTATCAGTTTCAATTGTCTCAATTAAACAATGTAAGAAATTTAAATTATATACATGCATTTTTAGGCTTTTCGACCTCAGTGGAGTTCCTTCCAAACATTTTTACTTACATATTTACACTATATGATATGATCCAGTTTAATTATACCCATCAGTTGTACGGAAAAACACTATACATTGTTCATTTTAATATATATATTTTTTAATTTTCTACAAAAAGATGGAAACAAAATGCCCAGTGCGTGAAATACATATTCTTTCTTGAATCACACCCAACTTACTATTTACACAAGAATACTTATCCAAACATGTATAACTTTTAACCGTCCTCATTCATTCAATACTGTTTTAGCTCAACACCATGCAATGGAATGTTGTGTATTATTTGTTGTCTAAAGTATGTGTGTGTATTCACTGCAAACATTGAGTTTATCCACATACCCGTTTCACCTACAAATGAACAAGAAGCATACATAAGTTAAAATGGATGGGCATTATAATGCAGTTGTTGTAAAAAAACATATATATAGAAATTATTTATGTCATTTATATTTGTTTCTGTTAAAATGAATGATACAGTGCGTTTCTGATAGTTTTTGTCGCAACCGTTACATTAACACATTGTAGGGACTCCACTGAAGATTCATAAGTCTGAAAACATAAAATTGGAATTTCTCACCAAGATGAACTGTGGGCTCTTAAGTTAGAAAGTTATGCAAAAGATGATTGACAAATATACTCCGAAATAAATTTAAAATCGTATTTTGTGCTATACTTAGCCCGATCTGAAGCTTTTTTATATTTTATTTATCTATTTTTTTTGTCATTTTTTACATTTTAATTAGAATAATTATTCCGGAAAGAAAGAGAGGGCGAATGATCTGAAATGTTGCACTCATTCAAGTTATTTTGTTAGACAATCATTAAATAGAATATTAATTTCTAAAAATTATATCCATTTCCTTCCGGTCAAAACACCTCAGAGGAGTCCCTTTTATCATTTACTAGCGTAAACGCGAGCAATTTCATACGTTTTTGTTCATGCAATTTGTTCTTGCTTATAACCATGATGTTATATTAAGATGAAACAGTTCATGATTAAAATCACAACTTCAGATGTTCCATAGAGAAGAAATAATGATTAACATCACGCGAATGAAAATAGTAATATTTTTGTGGCACATTTCCACCTCCGCGTGAAAACTCTCTGATTAAAACAAAGGAAAAGGCAAATAACAAAAACAATAGTCCTAACAGGCTCAGTTATCAATATTTGGATAGCAAAGCAGCCATTTAAAAAAATTTCTTTGTGTGACAACTTGATTTACGTGGGAAGAGATCTTTTCAATCATTGTATTGAAAATACGCGCGCGCAAAGTCCTTAATTAAATCAAAGCATTTCAACAAAATGAATAATTTCAAAGAAAGAATTGTAGATTTTTTTGTTTTCGTGTATAACAACAGTTTACTAATGAAGTAAACTTTTTTCTTAAAAAGACATATAAAGCATATAATATTTGTTATGTCATTCATTTCTATTTAAAGAATTTAAAATAAGTAAAAATAATTTAACTTCAAAATATCACATGATGATCGTCATAAAAGTGTGACAAATCGTTAGAAAGACACGAGATTAAGCTGCGTGGCCGAGTGTTTAACGTGTATGACTAATAATCTTCAGTGCTGGCCACGTAAATTCAAACCCTCTTAGGGGAAATATTTCCTTCATCAAGAAACTTCATATTCATTACAAACAAACTAGTAATAACTAACCTCTTACAATTTAAACAGTATTTATTAATCATGAGTTAAGTATCATATGTTTGGCCAACATAACTATTATTCCATTCTTTCATTGAAAAATTTGCTATTAAAATGACCATTGATGAAAACTGAAAGCAATTTTGTTATTCATAAGTTGAAAGATATTTAATAAAGTGAAATAATTTGTTGTTTTGTTGACGTCATTGTAGGAGCTATATTTTATCTCGTCTAAAATGTATCTGTTACACAGGGAATTCATGCGACTGAAGTAGTCAAGTTAAAATGTATATTTTTAATCAAGGCAAATTAAGACAAAATTCTTAATATATAAAATCTTGAAAAAAACTCACATTTTACATTTACAGATGTTTACTCTCCAAATATTCTATCAGAACAGTCTGGAAGAGGCCTTTTTGGACACCGGGAGTCGTAAGAATGCCTCCGAAGCTTTGGGGTATCACTTTCCGTGTCATCGCTGTCGTCATATTTATCACGTCGTTCTGTATATGACCTCATCAAGCTGCTGATAGGCGACAATTTATTTCCTTGTTGAGAGTATTTCTCAGCTTCAAGTCTATATTTCTTTATTTGTGTAATCATTTGATCTGATGGCAATAATGGCGGCGTAGGGGTAGAACTTAATCGCGAAATCAGAGGAACGGAAGCATCCGTGGAACGGCCTTCTAATGTTATGATAGGAGAAGCCGTGTTGCTGCTACAAGTGGTCGATTTTGACTGCGTTGAAATTTTGTTCGTCAGCTTATGAGCGGCGGCATCTTTTGAGGCTCTCCTCAAATAAGCGGCGGAATGTGCAGAACTACGACGACGTGAATAATCATAGACCTCCATGCCAGACCTCAAACTCAATATTGCTGTGAAAAAAGTTTAATTAAATACTACTGAGCTTGCAAAACAAAATTTAATTATCTTTAGGTTTATATTTAGTGGTGTGTGAAAACATATATCAAATTACAAATCACCTGCTGGGTTTATTTGTTATTTTAACATCCATTTCAAAAACAAAACTAAACATTATAAATTGCGACATTAAGTTCTATAAATATAATGATATATCATGCGTACAGACATTATACAGTTATCATAAGATAATTATTTTAAGATAATTTATAGTTTCAAGGACACATAAAATATGATTATTCGTATCAGTGTTTTCGTTTTAATTAAACATCGTAAGATTTTGATATACCCACGGTGTCTCTAAAATTGCGAAAATAACTGAAGGTTAAAAATTATATACTGGTTTATAAATATAAATTTTAATGTTCTTTTCAATGACTTGTCAGAAAAACAAAATTACAGATATAAGCGAGAGAGCAAAAACATAAGGAGTCTTTGCCTGCCTTACCTTCCTTGAAATTCTTGTTAAAACCAGCATAAATCAGCGGGTTTACAGCACTGTTGGAATAAGCAAAACATCCAGCCAGAAATTGCATTGTAAAGTACCATTCTTCTAGCTGTAAAATAGATATTATTAACGATACATTTACAATAGAAAGTCTACACAATGCAGTTTAGTAACGTCAGAGAAATTAGTTATATATAACATTTAAATTTCAATTTTCCAATAAACTGTCTCTCAAAGATAAATACGAATTGGAATTTTCAATATCAGCAAGATAACGAATTTATGTTTTTATAATCTTCAACGAGACGAAATGCAAGCAATTTTTGATACTGAGATTGATTTTTTTCAGGGGACGCAACTATGATCAACGATTTCGGATTTGAACAGGAAAGGGAACCAGAAAATGCTTATACTCACTCTGTCCCGTGTTTCTCTGAGCTCACTGTAGAGGAGAACTATCTGATATGGGAGCCAACACACGCCAAACACTGCCATTATTGTCACCAACATTGCTATCACCTTCATTAAAAGTTAAAATCGATTTATATTTATTGACTTTCATTAAGATATCTTTTGAAATAATAATATGAAGAAAGTTAAAAAAAATCTGCTCTGAAAAAAGCGTAATATACATATTTGTTTTATCATATTTATCATTTATGCATATATAGTGGTTGTATCTTTAAAACTCATCATTCGTTTACACATTGCGACTGTTTACCTTTCGTTTGTTCTTTTGCTGTGCTGCATGCCCGGCATCTACTCTCTCTCCAGGAATCTTATTGGCTTTAAGTTTTCGGATTATAATGGAGTAAGCCAACGCCATTACACACATTGGAAAAAAGTACATCACTGCTGAAACAAACGTGAAGTAGATTGTTCGAGCAGGCATGTATTCAACTGTGTAGTTTGTGCCCGGAATCAATTTAGTTTTCACCGGCCATGAATCGTCGCACCATCGTTCGGTATGATCCTGCCATTGGCGTTCTTTAAGCTCTCTAAACCATAACAAAGGTGCAGCAATTGCAAATGAGCAAACCCAAATACCAGCTATTGAGAATCGAGCTTTTCTTCTCGACATATGAGCTTTTAAGGCAAAAACTATTCCGAAGAATCTGTCATAGGCAATCAAGGTCAGGGATAGCACACTAGCTATAAGGCACAAAACTGAAATTAGAAGAATGAAAAAACATATTTAATTCTGGTTGCAGATTTCATTAGCGATTTAGTTTCAATTTCTCAGTGTGTGTTATAAAAAGTTCACTGTTTTTTTTTTCTAAAAAACAATACACATTGTAAAATATGAATGACAATTTTCCGTACATGAAACAGATTGTGATCTTCAAGCTGTTCTTTCCTAAAATGTGTTAGGCTCCAATCTATTCACTATTTTGGACACTTCATTGCCACCAACCTTTCGTGTCCTTTTTTTTAAAAGCTTCATGCTCAGGAACTGCCAAAGCCACTTACAGGAATCAAACAATTACCCCTTGCATTTACCTCTTTTCTTTGACAACTTTAATGTCTACCAAACAGTAATGTATACTCTGTATTGATAACAATATTTTCTATTTTTATGAGGGATATATTTTAGCAGCATTTAGCTTGAATTTGACTACTTTTTTATTGCATAATATATCGTCAACTTTTATTCGTCCTATTCATAACGCATTTAATGGTCATTTTTGTGCAAGGGTTACTCAAAATGTCGGTTTAAACGCATGGAGTGTTTGTAAATGTCATTTATAACGCAAATAAACACCACCGACTGCTGAGTACAATTCAAAATAATACGTGTTCACGTCACTAGATCTCTATGGCAACAGACCAAATGCTGAGACATAATATATCCCGCTAATTTATCGTTAAAAGATTGATTAACTGCTGAAGTTTTGTTTGTTTTGAATGAATTTATGAGCTAGTTCAAAGACATGCTCCTCTAATTCTTACTTATCATCACCACAATAAGTAACATTTTGGATAATATAAAAAACAACATCAAAATTAAAAAAATAAATCTTTTAAAAAATAAAAACAAATGTATTTCTGAGGCTTAATGGGCCTGTAAGCAAATCCGTTAGATTTTTATACCTATTCATCCAATTTAAGAGCAATTAAGATAAGTAATGTAAGTATTAAGCAAATTAATCACGTCAGAATAAAACGCTGGTTTTAATATGGAATTAAAGTTTATATACATATACTTTCTTCTGTTATAAGTATGTAATTTCTGTAACACTTAAAGATCCCGTATGTTGTAATTAAGGATGTAACAACAGTTCAGTGAAATTTTATATGTTTATACTAATAATTAGTCTTCTTAAACAATTTTCAAACATCTGCGCAGTCTGATCAGGATCCATGCTGTTCGCTTACCAACTCTATTACTTACAAGTAGTGAAACTGATAGCGAACAGCATGGATCCTGATCAGACTGCGCGGATGCGCAGGCTGGTCTGGATCCATGCTGGTCGCAAACCCATTATGTTGGTTTTGTCGTGACAAGGCTCATATGTACATGCATTCATTTCTTAATGAAAAAATTGGCTTAGACTTTATGGAAAATAAATGTCTAATTACCCCCCTTTATTTACATGAAATGTAAACTCGGAATAATGCTTTTTGGGATTTACAGTATTGATAAATCTTTATTTGTGCATTAAATTTATTATAATTATAAAATCATAAACAAACTTTAAGATTTTCCAACAAAATCAGTTGTTACAATAATGCGTGTCTAAAAACTTATTCAGCTCAATTTTAATCTGTACAGATATGTATGATCTACATATATGTATCTCTGCTGGAAACAGATACAGTACAGCGATATTAATAGAAACATGTTTTTTTCTTTTTATAACCTTAATGGCCACTCTGTATTTGAATAGTTAATATTTCTATCAACAGAAGTAATCCTAGTGCAATTGCATTTGGGATCGAATATCCTTTCTATAAACAAACTTGTTTACATGCATTTAAATCTTCTTTGAGATGATGACGTGTTAGCCCCAGCGTTGCTTTGGTGACATTAAAAACCCGAACAGTAAAAGCAAAGAATATTTTATTTTTTACAAAATGTACCTGTCTTGTATAATTTACAATATTAACACTTTTACATTAGCTGATAAAATCACGCGGTGTATTTCATTTTTTGCAGGAATAGCTTTGTACATGTCTTAGATTTAGTATGGTATTATGCAATTGAAATGTCGTTCTGAGTGTACTGGATACATGACCCCATCAATGATTAATTGTGATGACGATGATAAATCTTCTAAAGTCTTTCAATATGTTTGATTGTTTTGTGTGATTTTAAGCCACACCGGCATTGTAAAGGTCATATTGTGATTTTCCTGATCGCAGGTGCCCCTTGAAGCATGATTTAAGGCGCGACTGGGTACCTGAGTTTAAACAATCTACCTCCCGTAAGCTAGTTGGATAGCTTTTCCACATGAAATAATCCAAAGTCCCTACCGGGATTTGAACCCACAGCAAAAATGATAAGTTATAAGTTGTCGGCGACCTTAAAATACAATGCTAAACACGGGAATGGTATATAAATGTAAAAGTATTTATACACAAGTCAAGTATTCTGCTTTTTGATTAATGATAACTGAACGCCAAATAAGAATGTTTAATAGTTTAAATGTGTTTAAAAAGACACTCACTCTATCAACACGATATAACTAAAGCTGTGTACGGATGCAGTCTGGCTAGCTACATTTCTGATATTCTTGCTTGCTTACCATATAAATTTCTTCAGATGTCGTCATAACTTTAGAGGGTAATGTTCAGGACCAAATTTCAGTAACGACAGAAATATTATCAATGTAACCCAGAGATCATGGGTTCCAGCCCTACTCGGGTCACTACCATGTTTTTTCAAACGACATCAGTACTGGTTGGTTCCAGGAAGCTGACTCGAAAGTGATTAATACAAGTTGCAAGAACTTGTTTCGCAATCGAGCTTAAATAAATATTTTTAAACCAAATATTATTAATGTAATAAAATCAACTCATGCTAAGAATTTCATCACAATGGCAAATGAACGTGTAAACTGAAGTACCAAATTCGTATTAAAATGTAGCCGTCGGTAATGATGCTTAATTTTGTGGAAATCAAAAGCATTATATTTGACAATGTATTGAAGAGGCTTATGACTCGTCAGCCAAAGGTTAGACGTATCGAAATAAATATTTACCATGTCCTGACATTGATTCATGATATATAAGAGCATAGAGCATAAAATGTTCAATACATAAAAACCGAGAGAGTCATTTAGTGATCCTGTAAGCATTTGTCGTTTTTTTGTTGTTTACCTATGCTACAAACAGATTTATAGATAGGATCTATCAACACAAATATGCTAAAGAAGGAAGGAAATTGTTATAAAGTAAAGAGGGTGAGGGAAAGAATTTGCTATGAAGTAAGTAAGAGATCATTGAACTAAATGTTTGATAGTTCTATACATGTACACTTTTAAAATGAAATTGGTCATACTTTAAGATTATACAATCACCAGCGCTTCTGTTATTGGACTACAACTTGTGATTTTCTGACTTTTTATTAAATTTAATGTTTAATTAAAGATCTAGTAAAATAAGTTTAAGAACGGGTCCAGAGTTAAAATTAAAAATTTGATAAAGTATAGAAAGTTTGTTTGAAAGTCATGCATAACATTTGCATGAATAATTCTAATTATTAATGAATCTCAATCAAAGTACAACAAATTTATAATACCATTAAACTTAATTCTGCTATGAAACTCAATAAGTTCTTAGCATTTTGTTTTCAAATCATTAAAGTTTTCGGTGTTTTCTTTTTAATTGAAAAGTAAATACTTTCGCAAAGAGTATTGCACTGATTACGAACAGCTAAAGTTTTAGGATTGTTTTGAAAACATTTGCCAAAGGTAAATAACGGAGAATAAGTGCGAACAATTAAATACTACTAAACCTGATGGTATATATTCATGTATGCTAGGGAATATGAATTCCGAAGAATTCTTTGTAGTTAAGGATAATGGGAGAAAAATTATTCTTTTTATGACTCCCCATATTTTCTGAATTTACTAGGTTAGAAGTAACTTGGCACACAATGAGCTTGTATTTTATTCCTGTATTCCTGCCATATTTTTGTACTTTTTCTAATACATAAAACATAATGTTATATCTATTACAAGATTTGTATAATTTTTACTGTGTATTATAAAACAACTAAACATAGATATAGAGTCAGTTTAATATAAGATTGTGTTTCATTTTATTGAACGTATTTTGCAAAAGTGTAATTACTATACCTGTGCACAAAATATAATATGATTATAACTGAAATAAGATAATTTGAACAACGTTTTCAAGGTGATTAGATCAAGAGATACAAATACATAAAACAATTTGAATGGGTTGAAAATTATTTAAAAACACATTATGATATTGTGTACTTGTTATACACAAACTATAAACTAACATTTATACTAAGATTAGAATTATTTTGAGAAAATAAAAACAACGTTTTATTGTATTAACAAAACGATTGAACATGAAGTTTGAGTAAAATAAAAACAGTATAAAATTAATGCTCTAAAATTTTCCTTCAATCTATTGCGTAGTTTTCATACACAAAACATCGTCTGAATTTTGAAAACTGTGTAAAATAATATTTTTTAATACATAGGCAATAAATATGGAAAACACGTAATTAATGTCTGAATGTAGTGTAAGAATACAAATATACCGATTTGTTTTTTAATATGCTTATTGTCACATGTACACTGAACATGACAAAAGATACACACCACGTAGTTTGATTTTTGTGTAAAACTGTGTTGAATATAATATTCCCAAAATACAAAGTCAATAAATATGGTAGACACGTAATTAATGTCTGTGCGTAGTGTAAGAATACAAACATAACGATTTGTTTTTAATATGCTAATTGTCACATGTACACTGCATATGACAAAAGGGGTTTTAATTTAAGGGCAACAACAATTTCTACGGTAGAATTGCTACTGCTATCTGTCCTAGATTTTTTTCAACCGGAAAACTTTTTAACATAATATTTTCACATTGTTTATTTAAGTTATACAAACTAGAAAATATTTCTTTATCAATCTATTTCTTATGAATAACATTCTTTTAATCCAGATAAGTTTCGGACATATTGTATTGTACAAAGCGGATGATTTTAGGTGAAAAAAACGATAAAAGCGGAAATAAAAATAATAAGTTGAAAAGTCCAAAGAGTCTATTAATTTTGAGGAAAAAAAACTGTGCCTTTCTAATCTAAAACACAGTTTTGAAGATAACAATAAACAATAATGTCACCACTTTAGCACTATATTATCTCCTCTCCTACATGCTGATTAATCATATATATAAATGTGAATGTTGGACTATAATGATATTTCCTAATATGGACAAAATACCAAACTAGATATCTAAACTTTAAAAAGAAATCAATCTTCTTTTCTCAATGTATCGAACGCTTGAATGTTTCATTTTCATGAAAAGAAATTTTACTAAATTTTAAATTTAGCAATATCCAATTATTGACCGTTTCTCAACGCCAAATATGAAATGATGATGTTATGTTTGAACAATGAATGAAAATGTGTCCTTTGATGCACATATAATTATTATAATTATTTCCGGTTTTGTAAGCCATAACCAGACATATTTTGCATGCAGACATTTTTGTTGTTAAACAATTGAAGGTTGATTAAAAATGCCAAAAAAGATAGATACCTTGAGAGAATGTGTTGAATTTGCAGAAGAATCCGCCAAGCACCCAGTTGTTGTTGTTGAGGTTGTTCACAAGATGGACCCAAGTACAAAACACTGTTACTAAAATATCAGCAACAGCTAGATTGACGATGTAAAAGTTTGTCGTGGTCCTCATTTGTCTGTGACGGAGCACGACAAGTATGATCAAGGTGTTGCCAATCAAGGAGAAGAAAATAATCATCGCATAGAGGTAGGACTTCAAAATCACCTCGTACAAAGGGACCTTTTTGATCTCCCCAAAGTACGGTATATTTTTGTAATCAAAAGTTTCATTTCCGTAATCCAAAGAAGATAATTCGTAGTATGTTTCATCAAACGTGTACATCGGCTCTGCCGCCATTGTAGCCGTCATGCATTAAAGTCGTGTTGTTATTTTCTGTTCACTCAAAAATCCTAAGTATGAAAAACTCCAAAAAGATTTTAAAAACCACTAAATTTTGTCTATTCCAATATTTCTTCGCAACAAACGTTACACAACTTTTATCAAAATAGTATTTTAAAAAAATTCAAGAAAAATTGCACTGTCGTTTTTTTTTCTTCTTTAAATATTCACATCTGTTTCTTTAACAAATTTATTTGTTTGATCTGTATACATTTGCTTATATCACGTTAGTTCTGTCAGAAAGCAACAGCTATGAAGACAGCTAATACTCGAGATAGAGCTATTTCCGATATAATAAAGTCATCTCTCATGAACCTGTTTAGTTACGGCTTGATTCTCCTGCCATTGGTTACAGTCAAACGCGATAATTATTGCTATTCCATTATCATTCACATTATTATCCTTCAAACGCTCTCGTATATCAATATCAATACCAAGTAAATGAATGATGAATTACAGCCTTCACAAAAGAATTCTTGAAAAACAAAACTGTTCACGTCAGCGTTTTATGTTTTTTTCTAGTTATGTAATATGAAGTATATGTCTTTATTTCAAACATGATTATAATTCATAACCAATAAACTTGCTGCGATTGAACCAGCAATAATCGAATCCAAGCTTATCAGTTTAGCCTCGTTTCCAAAGGAACAATACTTAATGCATATCATGTCTAGAATACTCTAGTTTTCAGTTAAAGAGTCCAAAATATCTATTTCAATTGCATATCGTATACAATATACTTTGTTTTCATTTTCAAGAGACCAAAAGATCTATATCGAATTCATATAGTACCTATCTTACCTACTTCCATATCAGCACAGATAGTGAAATAAAGAGGTCATTATATATTTTTGAGAAAAATACTTAGACGCGAATAGCGCCTCGTTCAGATGTGTACTCATTCAATAGAATTTAATCTTGTACTCAAAAGGCAGATAAATCAAATACCATAGTAATAATGAATAAAAAAGACTATAAAAATGAAGTTTTACGCCAACTTGGTAATGACGCATTCTACGAAAAATTGAGTTATAATCCAATGATCAACATTCAAGAAAATATAAGCAAATGTATAGAGGAACTAACTGAGAGAAACAATGCTATTGACCACGAATTCGACGTTTTTCCTAATGAATGTCGCACACCGTCATTTTACGTTCTTCCAAAAACGCATAAACAACCGAATGCTGATCTTCCGTTAAAATATCCGGGTCGACCTATAGTTTCCGCCTGTAATTCACCGACTGAGAATATTTCAAAATATTTGGATAGCATATTAAAACCGTATATGTTCCGACTCCCATCTTTCATTAAAGATACGACGGATTTTATTCAAAAAATTAAAAATGTGAAGTTGAAAAGCAAAGACTCATTATTAGTTACAATGGATGTATCTTCACTGTATACATGTATTCCGCACTCTGACGGCATAAAAGCATGTGAATATTTTCTAAATGAAGGAAATAGTGATCATAACTTACAAACACCAGTGCTCTCTAATCTTATACGGATAGTTCTTGAAAATAACTTTTTCGAATTTAATAATGAGTTTTTCATGCAAACGTGCGGTACTGCTATGGGATCATCTATGGCGCCAGCATATGCCTCCCTGTTCATGGGGAAACTGGAAAAGGACTTTATCGAGTCACGAAATATCAAACCGACGCTGTGGCTACGTTTCCTGGATGACATTTTTCTAATCTGGGACGATACTCGCGAGGAACTCGAGAATTTCATTCGTGATCTAAATGATTTTCATCCGACGATTAAGTTTACGCAAACCATTTCCAGTTCATGTGTTGATTTTCTTGATGTGCGTGTTTCCAAAAAATAATTGCACTCTTTCAACGAACATATTCGTGAAAAACACTAATAATCATCAGTATCTTCATTATACCTCTTGTCACCCAAAAGCATGCAAGAATGGTATACCATACAGTCAAGGCAAGCGTTACCGCAGAATAATATCCGATGACAGTACATTCAAGGACTCTCTAGTTGATTTGAAAGACTTTTTTCTGAAACGTGAATACCCGAAAGAAGTAATTGACAATGCATTTGAGAAAATTAATTCTATGAGTCAAAATGAGGCACTGCGACTCACAGAAAGTAGCCAATCTAATTTTGTCATACCATTTGTTGTTACTTATAATCCTCATCTTCCTAACATTGGTCACGTTTTAAACAAATATTGGGACTTACTAAAGTTGTCAAAAAGTGAAACTGTAAAATATGTTTATGAGACTTACAAACCTATTGTTGCGTTTAAGAGACCCAAAAATATCCGTGATCATATTGTGCATTCTAGTTTTTCAAAGCAAATGTCAATTCATTCATCTTCTCCTTGTAGCAGAAGTAGATGTTCTCATTGTAATCGAATTACTTCGGATGTATCTTTTGCAAGCAGTGTCACAGGCGAAAAATATACACTGAGAAACCCTACAAACTGTTCTACAAATAATGTTATTTATTTAATCTCCTGTCAAAAATGCAATATGCAATATGTTGGCCAGACATCTCAACCGGTTTCACGTAGAATGAATAGTCATAAATTTGATATTACAAATTTCAAAGATCCAGCGTTTTCAACTCTTGTTGCAACGCATTTTAATTCAATTGATCATTCATTTAATGACTTTTCATTTTTACCGTTTGAGATTGTCAGCGACACAATGGAGCGTCTATGTAGAGAAACCTACTGGATTCATAAGCTTAAGACGTTTTCACCAGCTGGATTAAATGCAAAAATTATATACGACATTTAATTATTTCCGTAAGTTCTTTTGCGTAGACATTCCATTATAAATGGTTATATACTTTTTCCAATATAATATTTCATCTGTTTTATGCATGTATACACGTTACGTAACATTCACGTTGTTTCCTATTATTGTTTTTTATGTATTTTATATAGGAAATACTTGTATTTCATAATCCGTGAATGTTTATATACATATATATCTAAATCTTTATTAACTTTATTAATTTTCAAACTTATATTAATTTTTAATGAAATTTAATATAACGTAACGTAACAATGTATGTTTCCCGCCATCTCGGACGGTGACGTCATGTGACGTCTCTTCCTGTTTATTCACTTCCTGTTTATTCACTGACGAAGAACATATTTGTTCGAAATCGATTTGAATATTAAAAAAAATAACTGAATGTACGCGTGTGGTTGTTCTTTTTGGATTCATATCTTGTACTCAGTAATATAATTTTTATAATAACCTCATACTATCCTCACCCAACTAAATAATTATGTCAATTTGTCAACACAATGCGCCAAGCGATCCCTTATTATAATAATATAGAAATTGTGAACACTTTGTGACATTTAAGGTTGATATAATTTAGGCACATTGACCGCATTTAGTTCTCGTCCAAAAGCATTTTGTGTCAAACTAAAATGTTCACTGTAATCACCAGCAATATAGATGTCCACAGATAAACAGCCAGCGAGGTTATAAACTTCGTTGGCGTGTTTATTTAGCAGATCATTTGCAAAAAAAAGTTTTCCAAGTTCAGACTGGTATTTAAATACTAGATATTTAAGTAAATTTTGTTTGTAATCATGACCAAATAGCTGAATTATTTAAAACTGCAGTTATGTATAAATATCTATCTCCTTTCAAGTATTTTATTTTGAAACAACAGATCATGCTTGCCAATGATCCCGTAGGACCAGAAAATATAGCAAACACTGAATTAAAGTACAGGGCAACTTTTTACAGCTGCACACGGCACCACTTGACACCTGCTGTAAACCCTTGTGCAATTGTGAAAATCAGCCTCATTCACTAATAAAAGGAGGACAAATGGACATTTAAAACACATTAAATAGAGTATTTAGTAAAGGGGGTACTAATGAAATTTTGCAAACTTATTATAGTATACCAGTTTCATTTAGAACCGATGCTTTAGGACACAATGAAAATATCAAAGGTTATATTATATCGTCTTGCCAAAGCTGTATTCACATAGCTTAACATTTTTAAGAATATATATGCTGGCAGAATAAAAGTAATTGCTAGTCTGATACATGTAATTGATAATTATAGTTTAGAACTATTGCCATCGACGAAAATATTATGGTTGAAAAAAAAGCTTTAAGTATAGGTTTTAGTTTAATATTAGAACGTATTTACAAAATTAAATTGGCCAGTCGCGACCATTTTAATTTTGTATATACGTACAAAATTTTTTTGACCAGCTTAGTGTTTTTTATCATTTTGATGAACAGTCGATTTACAAGACTGATTAGCAGTTTGTCGATTTACAAAGTAAATGTGTTACGATTCATTTGAAATACTGCATACTCATATTTGACAGAAAAATAATTTGAAACACTAAAAAAGACCTATGTTTATCAATATTTGGACAACAGCGTTTAAATACAAAACACTCAATATACCCCTATATTTACTGATACGTAATACGCCATTGCTGAGCAAACATACAAAAACTCAGCTTAATATCATTCAAATTTATTATACTGGACAAATTATAAAAATAAAAACTACGGTCCACGTTCCAAGCCTCCAACGTCATAAATACGTGACATTATGTTAATGTTTGCTATTTTGACCTCTGCAAGGGATACACTTTAAATGTAAAACCAATTTCTTACACGAGGCATACACATATGTCTTTTGAAATTCTCAATACACTTAACTTTTAACAGTCCAAAATTTATGAGGTACTTAGAATTATTTGATGTCTGTTTTCTCAAATATCTCCACTGCTCATGTTCGCTTAACTTAAGCATCCCATTTGTGCTATTTTTTTTTCGTCATCTGCTACATATTTTTCATGACATTTGTAAAACAACGATCACAAAATGTTCTGGTACTTTTCCACGACTTTTAACTCTTTTTTGACTAAGAATCCTTCAGCATTTAATACAGAATTTGATAATAATCTGATCGGCAGCGCCATTGACAATCATCGTCATTTTACTGCGCTTATATGAACACTCTACGAAGGAAATGATGCACTGCATGTCTCACGATTTCGTTTAGCGGCAGACATATTGTAAATGTTAGCATCATAACATTAGGCAATTTTCTTACCCCCTATTGACCACTAACTCTGTTTTGAAAATAATGTGTTACGCTTGTTAAATGACGATTGTTGGCGTGGGCCGCATACGCACACCTGATGCCTGTATTAATGCTTTATTATATAATATATATTAACTATCTTTAAGATATAATAATGTTTATTTTTTTCAAATTGATGGTGATTTTAAATGTCAAGATTATTTTAGGCTTGGACGTTCTTTTTTTGTTTGTTTTTAGGCATTGTCCACGACTTGTTTGGGACAGCCCTTGTACAGCAATTTATTTTAGTCCGATTGCAAATGAAGCTATTAGCCTATAGACACACTCTCGAACTCAGTCTTCGACCAAACTAATGCAGAAGAATGAGTGTTAAGTTTTTGATCTAAGAAACAACTTATACATATAATATATAAATATATGATTACTATTCCTAGAAACATAATTTCTCTTTTTCAGTCAATTATTAATGCCATCATGTATTATTGTACACAATTTACTATTTTCTGGCAACTGTATATTTGTATGCACTTAACATTCCAATAAACATATTGTCAAGCTCCTGCAATAGTAGCATTTAGAAGTTTGTCCAAGGTTGTGTATAAGCTTTTCTGTAAACACGTTATCAAAAAGGCCAAGTGTTAAGCCGCACTGCGTCTGGTCAATTATTGATCGCTCGCTGATTAATAAGAAGGCGCACACGGATAAAATAGCGATGACCAATTCGTTCTAAGATACTTTATATTTCAAAATATAATTTCATGTTTGTTGCTCTTTTGACCAGATATTAACATTCTTATTCAGCTGTTTTTGTCTCTCAATAATTTTTTTTCTTGTATTCCAAATGTTTTAAAATGTAGGTAAAGTATTTTTAGACATAAATAACGCCAAAAATTACATGTTGTGTCTTTGAATTCGTGCAAGTCTGAGATATTTTAGAAGACTGCAGTACAGTTTTATTGAATTCAATGTTCTAAATTCAAAGTTTCATAGATATCACAATGGAAAGGGTAAACAGTACAATTTCAATTTTTAAAAGCTATACTAGAAAATGCGTAAAGTTGATATATTGATTGCATCTACTTCATAAATTTAAGCAGACTTTAATGATATCTTTAACTTAAACTAATTACGTGTGTAATGATTTGTGTAATTTCGGTATTTTCATGTCTTAAAGCTTCTTGCACAAGCCATCTATACATATTGTGAGTAATGGTTTTGTACATTTACTCGTTTTGGCCTATGATAATTAGTTGCAATTTTATTTCAAAGTACAAATATTTTCATGTTCTTTTAACGAATTTGTTCAATCGACAAATGTTCAATTATCTTGAACAATTTAAGCCCTGCTGTTGTAATATTATGTAAAAAAGGTGTCACTGACCCAACATGTCATTTTTATTTAATTTACTTTCTTTCTATATATAACAATATTCACAGTCGTCTTCCTTAAAATTCAAACGCTTTAGTCACTAGTATATATATCCCTTTATAAAAAACTAAGTTTCAAAATGGTTTGATTATATTTCCAAGAAGCATTCAGCACCTTGATTAATTGATTGAGAAAGGTCGTTCCCATCCAGTACAAAGGTATAAAGGATTGGCAAACCAATTAATTACCAATCTTTCCCTGCTTTTTAACCTTACTGTAATTTAATGAACTATCAAACAACAGGGAGCATGTATATACAGTTCATAGCTAGAAAATATGGCAAATCTGACGAGAAAAACATCAAAGATCACTGTTTTAACGATACGCCTGTCAAGGATA